ATACCTAAAATTTTCTTTTCACGTTGACAACGTAAATTTTATTAAAATTGATTGATTTGGAAGGTGAGCCCTTACAGACAGCATGTAAACGCGCATGTGCCGTGACCCATTGTGCTCTCCCCCTCGTGGTGCAGCCCTGTCTCATCTTAGGAGCAACTTTTAAGAAAGGTGCAGACCCGCTCAGGTCGGACATGCATTATTTCATCAGGTGTACGCCACTGGTATTTTCCTGTTTCCGACTATCCCCTCAACCTTTCCATGTTAGTATGAATTCAATCCTATGTACATTTTTTGAATAATCATACAGTTACCTATGTACAGGGTGTTTTTTTATGTATTGACACCCCACCTTTACCTTTACAGGTAGAAGAAAGGTGTAAACACAAAAGTTGTACAGTTTTGGCTGAATTTTTAGAAACCATGGTCAGAAACAAAATTTGAATGTCAGAAATGCGAAATTTTGCATGCTTCCAACTTTTTTCGAATGGGATGCCCTATATTTCATTCTATATTCTTGAAGAGCACAATGCACCGATTCCAAAAATATATAGTTTGTCTATATTTGGTTCAACAGTCTCTCATATATTCGGCTCCAAAAATTGTTAAAATACTATCCTACTACTGATTTTGTGAACCATTCTACCTGTACAGGTCAAAGCTGCAGGTAAAATTTGAGGTACCTACTTGGTTTCTCTGATAGTTTTTTTTTTTTAATTTCTAGAACCAAATATGTTGGAGACGGCTCAACCAAATATAGACAAACTATATAGTTTTGGAATCGGGAAATTGTGCTCTTCAAGAATATAGAACCAAATATAGGGCATTCCATTTGAAAAAAGCTGAAAGCATGCAATTTTCACATTTCTGACATTCAATTTTGTTTCTGACCATGGATTCTAAAAATTTAGCCAATACTGTACAACTTTTGTATTTACACCTTTCATTTACCTGTAAAGGTGAAGGCTGTAGTTGAGGTGCCAATATATAAAAAAACACCCTGTACTTGAACAATAACTTATTATATAAAAGTCAGAATTTGTAAGATTATCCACTTTTTGTCAATTTGCCTTTCAACAGGAATTAGTAATGTTACTTTACCAAACTAGTAACATAATGTGACAAGTTATTTAAGTACAAATGAGTGAATTGTTGCGGAACTTATGGGTGGACCTCTGCAGGACGAGCGCAGCGCGTTCCGCAGCCATCTACTCACCAATATACTGTTGAACTGTTCAAATAAGATATTCACCTGAAACGTGTACTTTTTAAACTAATGAGAATAACTCACATTTGAATGAGTCAGGTTAGTATCGTACTTGAACAACATATTGGTGAATAGATGGCTGGGTCCACCCATAAGTTCCGCAACAATCCACTCGTTTGTACTTGAAACTTACAAATTCTGACTTTATATAATAAGTTATTTTTCAAGTACAAATAAGTGGATTGTTGTGGAACTTATGGGTGGACCTCCGCAGTCATCTATTCATTAATACGTTGTTCAAGTACGATACTAACCTGACTCACTCAAATGTCAGTTATTCTCATTAGTTCAAAAACTACAAGTTTCAGGTGAGTGTCTTATTTGAACAGTTCAACAGTATATTGGTAAGTAGATGGCTGCGGAACTCGCTGCGCTCGTCCTGCAGCGGTCCACCCATGAATTCCACAACAATCCACTTATTTGTACTTGAAAAATAACTTATTATATAAAGTCAGAATTTGTAAGATTATCCACTTTTTGTCAATTCGCCTTTTAACAGGAATTAGTAATGTTACTTTACCAAACTAGTAATATATTGTGACAAGTTATTTAAGTACAAACGCGTCTATTGTTGCGAAACTTATGGGTGGACCCAGCCATCTATTCACCAATATGTTGTTCAAGTACAATACTAACCTGATTCACTCAGTTGTGAATTTTTCTCATTAGTTCAAAAACTACACGTTTCAGGTGAGTGTCTTATTTGAACAGTTCAACAGTATATTAGTGAGTAGATGGCTGCGGAACTCGCTGCGCTCGTCCCGCAGAGGTCCATCCATAGGTTCCGCATTAATCCACTTATTTCTACAGGGTGTTTTTTATATATTGACACCCCACCTGCAGCCTTTATCTTCACCGGTAAAAGAAAGGTGTAAATACAAAAGTTGTACAGCTGTATGCAACATCCTCTTTTAACTTAAAAGCACTTTTAAAAACTGGTCACTTTTAAAAAAGTGTATTCTTAGCCATACAAATTTTTAAAGGTACCAGTTTTAAAAAGCGCTTTTAAGTTAAAAGAGGATGTTGCATACAGCTATTACAGTTTTGGCTGAATTTTTAGAAACCATGGTCAGAAACAAAATTTGAATGTAAGAAATGTGAAATTTTGCATGCTTCCAGCTTTTTTCAAATGGGATGCCCTATAATCATTCTATATTCTTGAAGAGCACAATGCCAGATTCCAAAAATATATAGTTTGTCTATATTTGATTCAACAGTCTCTCATATATTCGACTCCAAAAATTGTTAAAATACTATCCTACTACTGATTTTGTGAACCATTCTACCTGTACAGGTGAAAGCTGCAGGTAAAATTTGAGGTACTATAGTTAATTTTTTCCTAAGATAGATTTTGGCATTGTCAACTTTGAAACATAAACAATGCCGCTTATGCCGCTTATTGGTCGCTATTGTAAAACTGATGTCAACCTGCAGAAACACCTCATTTTGCGACCAATCAGGGTCAAGCGTTATTGTTTATGTTTCAAAGTTTTCAATGTCAAAATCTATCTTGGGAAAAAATAAAGTGTAGGTTTCTCTGACAGTATTTTTAAATTTTTTAGAACCAAATATGTTGGAGACGGCTCAATCAAATATAGATAAACTCTATAGTTTTGGAATCGGGAAATTGTGTTCTTCAAGAATATAGAACCAAATATAGCGCATCCCATTTGAAAAAAGCTGAAAGCATGCAATATTTCACATTTCTGACATTCAATTTTTGTTTTTGACCATGGATTTTAAAAATTTAGCCAATACTGTACAAATTTTCTATTTACACTTTTCATTTACCTATAAAGGTAAAGGCTGTAGGTGGGGTGTCAATATATAAAAAAACACACTGTACAGTTTTTGAATAATCATACAGATTTGTATAAGTATTTTCGTATGGTTCTCCCGTAGGTCGATCGAGTGTACGCCACTGGTATTTTCCTGTTTCTGACTACCCCCTCAACCTTTCCATGTTAGTATGAATTCCATCCTATGTACAGTTTTTGAATAATCATACAAATTTGTATATTTTCGTATGGTTCTCCTTTCGTTAGGTCTATCGAGTGTACGCCACTGGTATTTTCCTGTTCCTGACTACCCTCTCAACCTTTCCATGTTAGTATATGAATTCAATCTCATGTACAGTTTTTGAATAAGCATATAGTTTCCTATGTACAGTTTTTGAATAATCATACAGTTTTGTATATTTTCGTATGGTTCTCCGTTCGTAGGTCGATCGAGTGTACGCCATTGGTATTTTCCTGTTTCTGCATTGCATGATCCCTTTAATGGTGCTGGGTAAAAAAATATCAGTTTCGTCTTCTATAAGTACCTTTTTTAGAGAATCTATTGTAGGTATTATTTGTTTACTGTACAAATCATAAATTTTCCTACGAATCAACTCTTTATCCGCTTCTTCAACCTTTCTTGACTTGCCGCTGTCACACCGTTGCTTCCTTGGCTGGATGCGTTTGGCTACGATATCTTTAACCGTAGATAATGGAGTTTTGGTGAAAACGGATGATTCACTCACACTTTGATTATGATTATAGCCTCTCTGCAGAAGGGTTAAATAAACGTTCCTCACAATTTCCTTGGCATCTAGCGATAAATGTTTTTTTTTTTGAAATACCACTTCCGGTTGCAATACTACCATCATTTGCCCATGGACGCCACATTTTTTTTGTCAATATAACAGCTCTAGTTCTGCACAAAGACTAAATAATTTAACTAAAACATTCACCCACATTTACATGTACATCTCACCTAGGCAGGTATAATAAATAAAATCAACCCGGACCTGCTCACAGGTAGTCGAAGTTTGTGGTTGAGGGTATCATCAACATTTTATTGATACTTGAAGAGTCAACGAATTATTTTGGAATGGACTTTACCCTACCAGCCACGACAATGACAAGATCGTCCGCGTAGACTTGGTGTACATAGCTTCATCGTTCAGATTGTGGACTGCGGAGCAGCTCATTCAGCACTAGGCACCACAGCAAGGTGATCATCGCACTTCCAAACATGACACAGATCCATTTTGACAATGGCGTTCCCTATGCCAAGGCTCTTTGCAGAATTCTATTATAGAACTTTTCTTCTTTTCGTAATTTTTTCGAAATATTCCGGAAAAAACAATCTCAAATATAGGCACTTCATGTAACTATTTCAGTTATATACTTTCTAGGAACATTCTAAAAATACTAATTCGCTCAAATGTCTATTGTATCGATGAAGTGCTAAGTAATAAGCTTTTATTGACTTTTGTAATGATTTTTCAGTAAACCTGACGAAAAATAAACACCTTTTATTTGGAGAGTAGGTATAGATAAGATCGTTTCACATGTTTTCTACTGTAAGTATTTTAATGTAGGTATGTGAGAAATGTGACCTATTTGAGTTATTTGACGGACTTATCTGTCTTATTTGCAAATAAGATCAATGACTAATTTTCATTAGAAAAGCCAAAAATCACATACATATCAGTATTCCCCAGGAACAATATTAAAAATGCGATAGCTGATAATATTATTTATTTATTTATGACAGAAAATCCAGATGTCATAATGGGGAAGCCCCATCCATTGCTGATCTATATTCTTCTTTCAAATAATACCGATATCAAATCTAATGAAAAAACAATATAAAATCTGATATTTCGAAGATTCAATTGTTATTAAAAAACCTAATGTAATCAAAAAGAAACGCGTAGTATATTAGTCAGTGATTATAGCGATGGTGATCTTACCAAAGTCTATCTTAGTTTCATTCAGGATTCTAACAAATAAAATGTATTTATGCCACTTGCTACAATTATCATTAACGTGACTTTTGTATAAAAATATTGCATTATCTCATTATATTAATTGCTAAATAGCACAATGAATCATATCGCGGCTTTAGTTGTCTTCTTGAAATATAATTATAAAATCAGGGTTTTCTATTATCTTTTAATAGGGCAAAGTGCAATGGTAATATAGGACTTTAGGAAAAACACTTCCTGGATGGAAAAATAGCCTAAAAGAAAAGTCGGTATTAGTTTTCAAAGTTACAAACCCATTTATCTCTGCTCTATTTGAACAACTAAAGATGCTATTTGTAAGAAGGATAGCGTTAACATCCACTGAATGAAGATATTATATAAGCCGCAATTTTGTTCGGTGCATGCTATCAGCTATCTGGGACTATGGTAAGGTTTCAGCACTATCTTTCTAGATAAAAGAAACAGATAAAGAAGTGACAAAATAAACTGCTTGAAATCTCTCTCAAAAACAGTATCTAGCTTGCTGAAAGTATTCTCAATCAAAAAGTAATTTTCTCAACAAAATAATCTCGTAAAGTTTAATGGTGTGACATTTTTCAAACAAGAATGAGAAACAGTTTGAATTGTTTAAATTATTAATTGGCACCTTCGATAATATATGGTAACAAATCTATTTGTTTTGCTTACAATTAAATGTAGCCAAAACAAAGTTTTCTAATGGAAAATTTTAACCACGGTTGATTTGAGAGAAATCTAAATAATTCGTTGATTATAGTTTGAGACAGATTATTGTTGTGCTAAAATTTTCGTATTTAAATTATTTGCTTTCTTTGGACTCATAAATCACCAATTTAAACACCAATAAATTAAAATACATCAGTTTCGTTTTGCAACTTGAGAGGCAATGTCCTTTTGAATCGTTTTCAGTTATTGCACACTCATAAATCAGTATTCTGATTTTTTACAGGACATGTTAATTATACCACAGTGATGTTTGTTTCTTGTCATGTAAAAAGATTTAAAAAAAAAAAATTGAAAATACACTTTATGGCTGGCTACCAAAAAAAAAAGAGCGATTCTCAGTAATTACACCTAAAACATTATGTTTCTTCAAGTTTTTTTATTCCTTCATTTTGCCAGCCCACAACCTAAATTTGTAAGCGGTAGGTAATTATAGTTCATTAAAATATCTATTTATAGTCTATCAAGTCATGATCTACCTGAAGACAACCTACATTCGGGTGGCAGGATGTTGAGTAAAATGTTAAATACTGATCATGTTTATTAATTAATGTCATTATATAATAATAATTCTTGATTGAGGTAGACGGTGAATGGACTCAATGGCGTTGGGACTGGCAAAAATTTATCTTATACCTTGAATAATATCCTCGAAGCTACCATATCTACTTAAAAAATCCTTCCTGAGAAGGTTGAGTTTGAGTAAATGCGATCAGAATTTGGGCTATTAAAATAGAAAGAAAACCTTAGTTTATTGAAGGTTTGCATCTTGACACGTTGAAGGTTTATAAGGAAGATAAAAATGCTCAGATTGATTTGAGAGGCAGTATTATGAAATAACATTGGTAAGGAAACTGTGCACGTTTTATAAATACGATTATGTTTCAACTTCCTCACATGAAGATGACGAGGTGGAAATGGCATACGAAGACAAAGCGAGAGCAATAAGAGACAACCCAACGACGCACACTATTCTAGGAGGAGACTTTAATGGAAAAATCGGCAGAGGAGCAGAACCAACAGAAACACACATAGGACAGTTCGGACTCGGCACCAGAAATGAAAGGGGAAGAATGTTAGCAAACTTCCCAGAAAAAGAAAGACTATATCTGATGAACGCTTCCTTCCAAAAGAAAAAGAAACGTAAATTGTCATGGAATAGCCCAAATGGACAAACCAAAAATGAGACTGACTTTATAATCTCCCGCCATAAACACATAATCCAAGACGTAGATGTAGTCAATCAATTCAACAACGGCAGTGATCACAGGATGGTAAGATGCAAACTGTTCATAAACACAAAAATGGAAAGAAAAACAAAGATGAAACAAACGACGAAGAGAGGAAGTAGAGAAAAGATAGCGGAAAGAAGGGAAAAATACAAACAAAGGCTGAAAGAAAACTTTTCCAGCAATCCAGAAAAAACAGAAGTCATTAGATGATAACAATAGGAGAATAACAAAAGTAGAAACCAACAAAACAGCAAGAAAAATGGCGAAACAGGATATATTAAAACATCAAACGAAACAAGTGCAATCCCTATTAGAACAGAACAAAGGACTAAATATATTTAAAAGACATAGCACACCTAGGAAACAGATAACAAAAATAAAAGATGCGAAAAACAACATAGTAGAAGACAGACACAGATATTAAAAGTTGCGAAATCTTTCTATAGAGATCTGTACGAATCTAAAATAGCAAACACAAGAACAAGAGAAGACAAAATACGAATAGTAAATGTAAACTCAGAAGAAATTCCCGACATAAATATGGAAGAACCGGATAAAGGGCTATCCCAGATGAAAAATGGTGAAGCGACAGGAGAAGACAACATTCTGCCTGAAATGCTCAACGAAAGCGATACTAAGACGAGACAAGAACTAGTGAAACTATTCAATAAGTGCCTAACACAAGGACATATACCCAAAGATTGGGAGAATGCTGTAGTTGTTCTGATCTACAAGAAAGGTGACCCGACTGATCTCGAAAACTACCGGCCGATAAGCTTACTATCACAGATATATAAATTATTCACCAGAATAATCACCAACAGATTAGAGCAAAAACTCGAAGTTTACCAACCAAAGGAACAGGCTGAGTTCCAAAGCCACTATAGCACGAGAGAACATCTACACACAGTAAGGCAGATGATCGAAAAAGCTACAGAATATAATATAAACCTATGGATGGCTTTTGTCGATTTCCGAAAAGCCTTCGACACATTAGAAATCTGGGTAATAATAAAATCCTTGAGAAATGCTAGAGCGTTATATAAGCCTAATTGAAAAAATCTATAGGAATTCGACAATGTCGATAAGTTTTCATGAATCATCTGAGAGAATAAACGCCAAAACAGGAGTTCGGCAAGGGGACGTAATATCTCCAAAATTATTCACTTTGGTGCTCGACGATATTTTTAAAAAGCTACAATGGGAAAACAAAGGATTGAACATACATGGTGAACGCTTGCCGACGATATTGTACTATTTGCAAAAGACAAACAGGAATTGATAGATATGTTGGAAGAACTACAGGATGAGGCGGCAAAAGTAGGATTACACATGAACTACACAAAGACCCAGTTTATTACAAATACACCAGATGCAGACGAGACAATACCGATCCATGATGAGAGCACAATAAAAAAGACAGAAACATACCTACATATACCTTGGCCAAGCTATAACACCGGGCAAACAAAATCAAGAAATGGAAATTGATAGGAGAATTAGACTAGGATGGGCGGCTTACGGCAAATAAAAGTACATCTTCAGCATGAATATCCCAATGACTTTAAAATCAAAAGTCTATAACGAGTGTATACTGCCTGTTGTCACGTATGGTTGTGAGACCTGGGTAATTAGGGTTGCCAGACCTCCTATTTTTAATATGAGACTCATATATTTCAACTGTTTCTCATATCTCATATTAGCATGTTTAATATGAGACCAATTCTCATATATTTTCCTCAAAAAAAAATAAACCATGTATCACTACCATCATTGTATACTACCATACACGTAATAGGCCGGAGTGTCATGCATCCGTTATACGACCGCCCGATGGTACGGCCACAGTTTGTACGACGGAGCTCCTATTGACTGAAAAATTTCCCGTCGCTTTTTATCCGAATATTTTAACTTTTTCCCGACGGCGGACAAAGTAAAAATAATTTTAACGATTTTGGGTCAGGAATTTGTTTAGATATCAAAAAACGCAAGGCAGTGGCTAACTAAGGGCCCGCAGTTGCGGGGGGGGGGGGCGTCATCTTGGGGGCCCCTTTTAGACCTGATAACATGATATTCATAACTTGTTGAAAAATGGCTGGGGTAACTTTTATACCAAATGGCGTTCTATTGTATTGAAACAATCCATGATGAGTGTTTATTGTTAAATATTTTCCTGATTCTTTACTGATTTCAATTTGAAGGAGAGCATCAGAAAGGTCAATGATACTGAAAATTGTAGCATTTTGTGATTTTGAAACCTTATATTATGGTATCTATTACTTGTTGAAAAATGGCTGGGGCAACTTTTATACCAAATGGCATTCTATTGTATTGAAATATGCCGTAGTTCCTCTCAGATCTGATAGCATGGTATCCATAACTTGTTGAAAAATGGCTGAGGCAACTTTTATACCAAATGGCATTCTATTGTATTGAAACAATCCATGATAAGTGTTTATTGTTAAACATTTTCTTGATTCTTTACTGATTCCAATTTGATGGAGAGCATCAGAAAGGTCAATGATACTGAAAATTGTAGCATTTTGTGATTTTGAAACCTGATAATATGGTATCTATAACTTGTTGAAAAATAGCTGGGGCAACTTTTATACCAAATGGCATTCTATTGTATTGAAATATGCCCTAGTTCCTTCAGACCTGATAACATGATATTCATAACTTGTTGAAAAATGGCTGGGGTAACTTTTATACCAAATGGCGTTCTATTGTATTGAAACAATCCATGATGAGTGTTTATTGTTAAATATTTTCCTGATTCTTTACTGATTTCAATTTGAAGGAGAGCATCAGAAAGGTCAATGATACTGAAAATTGTAGCATTTTGTGATTTTGAAACCTGATAATATGGTATCTATAACTTGTTGAAAAATAGCTGGGGCAACTTTTATACCAAATGGCATTCTATTGTATTGAAATATGCCCTAGTTCCTTCAGACCTGATAACATGATATTCATAACTTGTTGAAAAATGGCTGGGGTAACTTTTATACCAAATGGCGTTCTATTGTATTGAAACAATCCATGATGAGTGTTTATTGTTAAATATTTTCCTGATTCTTTACTGATTTCAATTTGAAGGAGAGCATCAGAAAGGTCAATGATACTGAAAATTGTAGCATTTTGTGATTTTGAAACCTGATAATATGGTATCTATTTGTTGAAAAATGGCTGGGGCAACTTTTATACCAAATGGCATTCTATTGTATTGAAACAATCCATGATAAGTGTTTATTGTTAAACATTTTCTTGATTCTTTACTGTTTCCAATTTGATGGAGAGCATCAGAAAGGTCAATAATACTGAAAATTGTAGCATTTTGTGATTTTGAAACCTGATAACATGGTATCTATAACTAGTTGAAAAATGGCTGGGGCAACTTTTATACCAAATGGCCTTCTATTGTATTGAAATATGCCGTCAGTGGCGGAGGCT